CGATCCTCGTTGCCCTTGCCGTGCCAGGTGACCTCAGCTGTCTGCTCCCTGTTGGGCCCAAACACAACCCAGGCGTGGTCCTCGGACAGGGCCAGATGGACATCCCGGAGACCCAGGGCCTGGCAGGCCCCCACCACAGCAAAGGCCACACCGGAGCTGTCCAGTTTGGTGCCTGTGGGAGGGAAAAGTCATGGAATCAAGTCCTCTCTGACTTGGGCAGGGGGAGCCAAGTACTGCTGGGTCATGCTCCCTCCCACCCCACCACCAAGCCTGGGCCCAAACCACAGACACTCCTGCCCATCTTTCCTCTATCCCTTCCGTCTATGTGTTCAAAGCTTCTCCCTCCCTTTCTACCCCTGCCCCCAGCAAGAAACCTTCCTGGATCTTCTCTAACTCAACCCAGTCTTTGACCCTGTCCCTTCTTTTTCTGCAACCATGTTATACATTTCTGTTTACTTAAGGATTTTCTCATTTTATTGCCCTTATTAGATTATAACAGGGATGGCACAAACAGGACACTTTGGCCAACGCTCTTTTCTCATGGCAGATACTCCTAATTTATCTGAACTCTTTTCCTGCTAAACTCAGAAGCAGCTTCAGATTCTTGCTGAACATGGCAATCCTGGATGTGACTGCCAATCGACTGGGCTTTGCATGAAGAAAAAGCTGGCAAGCCACGAGCCCTAAGCTTCCTGAGGTTAAGCCCCTAGTCTGTTCATTTTTAAACATTTTCATACATATTGTCAGATTTAACTTTCTCAAATGTAGCCTTATTTTGTCTCTTCACCCTCAAATCTGCCGCTGCCCTCGGTGCCTCAGTCTGGGCTGCAGACTCCGGTGGCTGCTCGATGGCAGGGAGGGGAGGTGCTGAGGTGGCAGAGGGTGGATTACTGGATTTGGAGTTTCAACCCTACCATTTTCACTGTGTGATTTTGGGACATCCCTTTCCCTCTCTGGGCTTCAATTTCCCCAACTGCAAAGGGTAGGGCGGGGAGGGGAAGGCCTAACACCTGCCCCACCTCACAAGGTTTAAAGGCTCAAAAGGGCTCTGTAAACCCTACAGTGCTGGAAAGAGGTAGGCCAGGATTCTCGCCCCTTGCCATCTGCCAGGCTCCAACCTGTGATGAAGCTGAAGAGGGACTGGATGTGGGCCCGGTCCTTGAAGTAGGAACGGCTGAGGCTGTTCCAGATGACATCGGAGACCTTCTTCACCAGCTCACGGCTAGAGACGCCCCCCTCCCGGGGGTAGAGGGACAGGTCGACAGCACCGCGGATCTGGGCAGTGAAGCGGGCATACAGGGCAGCGATGATGGATAGGTCGGCTACGGGAAAGTAGGTGAGGCCGCCAGGGGGGTCGGGCGCGGGACTGGGCTGGAAGGTGAGCTCGGGCACGTTGGTGGGGATGACCCGGTTGACAGCCAGGAAGTGCTCCACGAAGCCCAGTACTAAGGACAGGAGCACCAGGTCCGGCTCCTCTCGGCCCAGCTCGGCAGCAAAGAGCCGCACTACGTCGTCGATGGAGCGCAGCGGGAAGAGCGTCTTCTGGGCGGCCTTCAGCCCCATGGCGGCGGGCAGCGGCCTGCGGGCGAGTCCGGGGAGGGAGGGTCGGGCGGGCACGGCTGGGGAGCCCCCTCCCAGGCTCGACTGAGGTCTCCCCTACCCTGCACACACACCTGTCCTCTGCTTCCCCGCCCCCTTCACCCTCTGCTCACCTGCTCCCCCTTTTTGTCGGCGAGACCCCCTCAGCCGAGGCTGTAGGGCCTCCTTGTCCCCCACAGCCCCGTGACCCCGGCCCCAATGGGGGTGTGCCTCAAGGACCCTGCTGGGACTCCCAAAGGCCGCCCCGCCCCCTCTCTCGAATCCTGTTCCCCGGTCCCTTTGAGTCGGTCCAAAGGGCGCCCCTAGGCCAACCCCCTCAAACCCCGAGGAGAGTCCTGGCCTCGGTCCCCCGCGCCCACCTCCGCGCTTACATCCCACACAAGGCACCGCGGCGCCCGCGGCCTGGAGCCTGCTGGGAAATGGAGTCCCGCACCTTGGGCCGCGCGGCCTGCCGGGAAGTGAAGTCCTGGGCCCTCTCCCGCCCGTGCCGAGCTTTGAAATGGTGGCCAGCTCGGCCAGTCCGCGGTGGCTTATGGGAGTGGTAGTCCCGCTGCTCTAGGAGCCCCAGAGGAGGTGAGGGTGGAGCGCAAAGAGGAACAGCTAAACAACCACCGTAGTTATTTGTAACAGGGTAAAAGTTGAAAAGAGTGAAGTACCCCATGCATTCTCAAATGGATCTCTAGCACATATTGTTGAGAGAGAGAGAGAAAGCTGTAGGACAATATTATGATATGATAGCATTTATATTAACAACGTTTTAAAGCCTCAAAACTGACTGGATTTGCTGACAGATTGGATGTAGGGTGTGAGAGAAAGAGAGGAGTCAAGCATGGCTCCAAGATGCCTGTGTGCTCTGCCTCTTCTCTAGTTACTATGGATGAACTGTCCATACTCCCTCCACTTGTGTGGAAGTTTGGTTTTGGGCATGTCAAGTTTGGGCTCCTAGACCTTTGAGTAGAAATGCTGAGTCCAGATACCAGAGTCCAGAGTTCAGAGATCCCAGAGTCCAGAATCCAGGGAAGAGGCTTGGGCTCAGAAAAACCAAACCACATTTCCGACTCATAGCCACCCTATAGGACAGAGTAGAACTGCTCCATCGGGCTTCCAAGGAGCTCCTGGTGGATTTGAACTGCCAACCTTTTGGTTAGCAGCCAAACTCTTAACCACTACGGCACCAGGCTTGGGCTAGAGATATAAATTTAGGATTCGTCAGTATATAGATTTAAAGCGGGAGATTGGATGACATGCCCAAAGACTGAATTCTGGGGCACTGTCTCATGTAAAGAGCCCTGGTGGCACAGTGGTTAAAGTACTCAGCTTCTAACCAATAGGTCAGCAGTTTGAACCCACCAGCCACTCCGCAAGATAAAAGATGTGGCAGTCTGCTTTGGTAAATATTTACAGCTTTGGAAACCCTATGGTGCAGTTCTGCTCCGTCCTATAGGGTTGCTATCAGTTGGAATCGACTCAACGGCAGTGGATTCCCTTGTGTAGGGGTTGGGGAGACCAGGAGGAATCAGCACAGGAGTCTGAGAAGGATAGGCCAGAGAGCTAGGAGGAAAGGCAGACAAGCATGGTGTCCTAAAGAAGAATCTATGTCACGGCTGTGGCATGATCGAGGACGTCAGATGCTGCTGAGAGGTCATTGCAGTTGAGGACAAGAATGGACCAGTAGATTTAGCTCTGTGGAAATCCCCAGTGACCTTAATACAATTTGGGAGAAAAGCCTGATGGACTTGGGCATGAGAAACATACTAAGCCAAAACCAAACCCATTGCTGTCGAGTTGATTTCGACTCATAGTGACCCTACAGGTCAGAGTAGAACTGCCTCATAGAGTTTCCAAGGGGCGCCTGGTGGATCTGAACTGCCAACCTTTTGGTTAGCAGCTGTAGCACTTAACCACCATGCCACCAGCGTTTCCTAGGAGGGAAAAAATTGGAGACAGTGATATTAGACAACTCTTTCAAGGAGCTATACTGCAAAGGGAAGGAGAGAAATGAGATGACAGCTGTAGCGGGGAAGACAGTCAAGAGAAGATCATGTTGTTGAATAGGAGAGATTTGCTGGAGTGATGGCCTTGAATGGGAGAGAGGGAATGGGAGTTCCCAGTGGAGGTTTGGCCTTTGCTGGGAGGGTGAGCAGTTTATCCATAATAACTGGAGCGAAGGAGTGTACACGTCACGTGTGGTGGGTGCTTCCATCTTCTCAGTGAAATGAGAAGCTTGGTCATCATCTCATCTCCAGATGTCACCTTCTCAGTGAGGCTGCGCCAGACCCAGCCATTGTGCTTAAAATCACACCCTCCACCCAGAAAGAATTCCCAACCCCTCTCACCCTGCTCTACTTTTTTCTTCTAAGGCGTTTAATGCCTTCTAACACAGGGTTTCTCAACTTCAGCACTACTGACATTTATCAGTTGCCATGGAGTAGATTCTGACTCATGGTGAACCCTATGTGTCAGAGTAGAACTGTGCTCCATAGGGTTTTCAATGGCTGATTTTTCAGATGTAGATTGCCATCAAGACAGCATCTTCCCAGCTGTGTTCCCAGGCATGCCTCTCCCTGGCCCTAGGCCTCTGCCCAAAGGCACTCAGCTTTCTGTCTCAGTGGGCTGGGAAACCCACCATGCTGTCTCCTGCTGCCAGGTCTCTGCTGCTGCTTCTCAAGCCTGGGCTCCTAGCCAGGCCTTGGAATTCTGTGGGCTCCTCCATCCTCACCCTAAGGGTGGCAGCTGGGTACTGTTCCCAGCTTTAGGGCTGTGTTATGAGCCTCTAGGCACAGCCACTGGAGCCCAGGCCCTACACTCCTCTCCCATCCAGCTCAGTCTCCAGGCCTGGGTTCTGCCCAGGCACGGACACCACGCTAAGGCCAAGTCAGACCCCAACCAGGTCTTCCCTCCCACCTTCCTCTCCCATGGGTGAGGCAGCAGGGTGCTGGATACCCTGGGTGTGTCCCTCCAGATCCACTTCCACACTTCTCCTCCCTGGTCTGTGCCCAGAGCTGCCCTCTAAGATCATAACTGGGCTCTTGGGCCTTCTGGCTGCTGGATGGGTTTGGTCAAAGGGAGGTGGGAAGATTTATTTCCTGGGTTGCCTTCCTGCTCAGCATGGCCACATTCTTCCACCAAAAGCCACAGTTCCTGTCTGGCTGGCCTGGCATAATAGCTCCCCACTGCTGCTAGGGCTCTGGGGCACCCCAACTCCCTGCCCACAATTTTGTAAACTGTCCCTTGGTTAAATTCTCCCCAGTTATCCTATTTCAGTTTGTCTCCCAATTCTTGAAAACAGAGGAGACCTGGTCTTTCATTGTCCCTGATATTCCTGCTACCCTCTCCCCGCTCAACCCCCCATTTTCTGAATCCCAGGAGGACAGATCCAGGCGGAGAGGCCAGCAGTTTACAAAGCTGTCTTTATTGGTTTCCTGCTGCCTCCTGGAGCATCGGGTCAATCCTGTCCGGGAATGTGGCATTTGAGAAGATAAATACTTATTTTGCCCCACACACATCAGTAGGGGGAGGTTTAATAAAAACAGTAATATAATAATAATAATAATGACTGTGCTCAATAATAAAATACCCCCATATGATCCCCTAATACACAGTTGGTTGAAGCTTTGAGAAAAAGGTTGCCCCTTTCTGGGAAGGCCAGAGCATGCCCTCCTCCCTACCAAGGAACCTTATAAATACCCCCCATCTTATCCCATCCCATCCCTGCCTAGGAATTATCTTCACCTTGGGCGGATTAGACGACAATGTCAGTTCTGCTCATGGAGCCGCCTTCCCTGGTCCCAAGCTCACCAAATTCCTCCCCAGAGAAAAAGGACCTGTTGCCCTGTCTTCCTCCCAGAACCTCCCCCTCCACCTCTCTCCTCTTCTTCATCACCTACTTTATCCCTCTCTCCTCTGGCTCTTCCATCCCCTTCCAATCTCTCCTCTCTACCTCCTCTTCCACCTCCTTCCCACACCCCTGCCTCTCTCTCACCTGCTTCACCTACATCCCGCCCCCTCCTCTCTAGCCTCCTTTCTTCTGGACCAGCACCTGTCTTTCCCACCTTGACCCTGAGCAGAGACCCAGACCTGCCCCATTCTGGCCTTAGGGAGGGGCCTGATGGCAGCAGACAGGGCCCCAGACCTGCTCCGGGGCCCGGGGCCTTCTCCCTCCCTCCCCCTGCCTCTGGGGCTTGGCACTGGAAATGAGAGCTTTGGCACAGTCACCCCTGGAGACCAGGGCCAAGGGGTCCCAGGACAGAGAAGGCTGTCCTATTCCTAGTGACCAGCACAGGCTGGGACCAGAGGGGAAAGGCGAGATCAGGGCTTGTTCCCGAGTCATGGGAACCCAGGCAAGTCTCCTGCCGCTGCCCAGCCCAGGCCTTCCCTGAGTTCGAATTTCCACATGCCCGGACCGGCCGGAGTATGGCATTCCTCGAGCTCTTGGCTCCCACACGTCTCTCTGTCCTGGGATTAGGGTGGGCCCTGCCAGAGGGCGTCAAGGGGAGCCCTCTGAATCAGGGGCTGGAGGGAGGCTCCGGGGCCGCTCTGAGACCTGGTAAGGTGGGGAGGAGAATAGGAGGAAGTCAGGGTGGGGAGAGGCAGGCAAGACTGGTTCCTCTCCAGGCCAGTGCCTTCCAGAAGCCTCCCTAGGACTCATCACCTGCTCTAGCAGGGGCCTTGAAGAAGGCTAGGTGTGAGGGGGGGTGAGGCGGTGCATGAGTCATTGGAAGAACCTGGGGACTCCTACTTAACCCTGGAGCCCAACTTAAGGTCCCTTTGTTCCTTCGCTCCATCGTTCAATCAGCAAACATGCTTTACTCTGGGCAGGAGAGAGGCCTAAGCCCCACCATTAAGGAGGCCACAGTTGGGGGAAGAGGACGGGCACCCAGACAGACAGCCACAGTGCAGCAGGTGCCACAAGCTAGACACCCACGGAAGGCCCAGGGAGGCCATGACCAGGCTGCCAGGAAGGCTTCTTTGTACACGGCGATGTTGGTGCAGGGCCTTGAGGTTGGGCTGGGCATTGATTAGGCTGAGGATAGGGAAGGCATTCAAAGCCCAGGGAAGAGCATGAAGGTATGAAAGAGCATGGCAAGTCCCAGGGCTCTGGGTGGCCTGGTGTGGCCAGAGTGGGTGTGTGTATGGGCGGGGGGGGAATGGGGGGGAAGAGTCGATGAGGCTGGAGGGTAGTTGGGAGCCTTCCCAGCTACTCTTAGACCTTCCTCTGGACCCCCTCTGCCCAGGACCTGGGCATCTGTCATTGTTAGTTGATTCTGACTCATGGCAACCCCACACGTGCAAAGTAGAACTGCTCCATAGGTTTTCAAGGCTGTAACCTTTTGGAAGCAGATCACCAGGCCAGTCTTCCGAGGTGCCTCTGGGTGAGTTCGAACTGCCAACCTTTTGGCTAGTAGTCAAGCGTTTAACCGTTTGCACCTCCCAGGGACTCCTCCCTGGGGCTCCTCGGGCCTCTATTAGGGATCCCAAGAGCTCGCCACGGTGCTCTCCCCATGTGCCGGGACTGTGCTGGGCCCTTCCCAGGCATCACCTCATACAGGCCTCACAATAACAGCCTCATTTTACAGATGAGACAAGCTCAGGGTGGTTGGGCACCTTGCCCAGGGCCACACAGCTGGGACACCATAGCCAGACGGCTGCCAGGCTCCTACTGGGGCTCACTGATGGGTGAGACAGAGCTTCCAAGGGCAGGGATGGGCTCGACTTGCTTGGCCTCTGGCCTCCAGTCCCGCGCACAGCCTAGCACAGCACAGGACTGCCCCTTCTTTGGACAGGGGTGGGACAAGCCCCCACAGCTCACCGGCATTAGGGAGGCTGCAGGGCTCAGCGATCCCTGGGGGCAGGACACAGATTCGCTGGACAGAGATGTCCGAGGTTTCCTCTTCACTGCTCCAGGGGCAAAGGAGGGGATAAAAACACCACGGTCAGTATTTGAGGACCCCAAGCGGGTGGCATCTGGGAAGGGACACGGAGGTATTGGAGCCCTTGGGGCTGCCCTTACTGGGGTCCACATCTCCAGCGAGGGCATCGCTGCCCATGGAGGCCGGGCGCCGAGAGCCCTCTGAGAAGCCGTGGGGCCGCTGCGGGCCGGAGCTGTGGGCACCTTGGCCCTTCTCTTCCGGAGCCTGTTGGGGAACAGTGTGGAGGGGCTGGGATGAACGGTTAGTACCAGCTGAGGAGAGGACGGCACAAGCCAGGGCAAATGAGACCCATTCGGTCTGGGCCTGGGCTTGCTGACGGCCCATGGATCAGGGATGAGTCACAGGCCAGGAGCCCAGGTAATCGCAGAGGTCTGTGATTGGCGCGAACTCACCAGGGAGGCCTGCGATTGGCTCAAACTCACCAGAGGGCCTGTGATTGGCTCAATCTCACCACGGAGGTCTGCGATTGGCTTGAGCGTATCAGAAAGGCCTGTGATTGGCTCCGCGGTACTCACCCGGGGCAGGTCCCTGGCACTGGGCCTCCCGTCTGTAGGGCCCACATGCACCAGGTGGTTGAAGTTGGTCGGCGGTGAGATGAGCTTGGAACGCACGAAAGGGTCCTTCAGCATTTCCCTGCGAGTCAAACAGCAGTGTGGGAAAAGGGACTGCGAGGCGGCCTATCCCCCGCCCTCTCCCTCCGCCCCAGCCCCAGAGTAGGAGGAGGCCCCGCCCCACCAAGTCCCCGCCTCACGCACGCGCACCTGCGCTGCTGCTGCCGCTGCCCCTCCGACACGCGGAAAAAGAAGCGGCGCTTGCTCTTGGTACGGAACAGCTGGCGCCGGCTGTTGTCGGTGAGGTCGGGGATGTCGAACTCGTCTTTCTCTGTGGGAAGGGCAGAGCTGGGTAGTGCTCCCAAGTCTCCAGTCAGCTGGCTGTCACGGTCACACGTGTGCACAGGTGAACGCACACAGGAGGAACACTCGCACACACATACAAGGCACACACACTCCCTCACCTGCCAGCCGGTTCCTGAGGTAGGTCAGGCGGACCTTCTCGGTGCCATAGAGGAACAGGGAGCCCTCTGGGTTCAGGGGTCGCACCTGAGGCAGCAGGCACAGAGGTCGTCAGGTACCCCACTGCCACCCGACCCCAGTCCAGCCCAGGGTCTGGGGAGGCCCTGACCTTCTTGAGCGGCATGGTCTGGACCCATTCTGCTCTCCTGACGTCAAACACATCAATGGAGTTCTCACTGAACACTGTCAGGTAGGGGGCTGCATAACCTGCAGGGTAGGAAACTGCCTGTGCTGTACAGCCTCCGGCAAGCTGGTCACCTCTCTGAGCCTGTTTCCTTCTCTGCATCAGCGGAACACCCTGTGCTCGGCCACAGCACAGTAACTTCCCCAGTCTTCCTCTGTGAACAATCCTGGTGGCCACACCCAGCCTCCACAATACATCACAAATAACAAGCCCACTGCATGCAGCGCACAGTTCTCAACACTTCCTGTGTTTTCCCTCCCTTAATTCTCAAACGGCTCTGAGTAAGTACTGTTACCACCTCTCATTTACAGATGAGGGAACGGAAACTTCGGAGCTGAGGGATGGCCAAAGTCACCCAGCAGGTGAGCAGGAGCTGCAGCTTGGACCCAGCAGTCTGCCTCCCAGGCCCATGTGCTGAATGTCTGTTACACTCAACCTACAGGCCCCACCCCCGGAAGAGCCATAGCTTGTGATGGGAACGCCATTATCCCTCTCTTCCAGGCCTTACCCCATCGCACCAATTACTGGTGAATGCTGGACTCCCGCATTGTCCCATTCATTCATTCGTCATTCATTCATTCCCCAAACATTCAGAGCCCCTGGGTGTGCTTGCCCAGGCCGGCGCTGAACGCAGACGAAGAAAGCAGCCCAGCCCATTCTGCAGGCCCCAGCGCACCAAGCCCGTCATTACAGTAGAAGGTGATCAAGACCAGGACAGAAGCCTGAATGAAGGGGTGAGGGAGCAAAGAGGAGGCAAGGCCCAAAGATGGGGAAGGGCGGGGCAGAGAGAATGAAAGCGGTAAGGACAATGATAGCAACCATGGTCCTCACGTATGGAGTGCCTGCCAGCTCCAGGCTGAGCTGCCACTGGAGCTGGACTTGCTTAAGAGTTTACCAGGTACAAAAGGGAGAGCAGTTGCGGAAGGGGTAAGAGCATGAACTGAAGCATGGAAGAGGAAGAGCCCATACATGTAGCCAAGGGGCATCCAGAGTCAGGGTGTGGAGGGCCTCCGATGCCGCGCCCAGGACTTGGGGTGGGACCCTAACTCAGGCAAGTGGGGTATGTGGTAGGTGCCTGGAGACCACCCTAGCCCAGCGCCACCCTCCCTAGGCCTTACCCCAGTCCGTGGGGGCTGCTGGCCACAGCAGCTCGTGGCCTCGAGACTTGCGGCCAGCACTATCCACGTAGACACCAGCAGTGGTGAAGAGCAGCAGGAACTCACTGAGGCTGAGCTCCACGGCACCCAGCGCCTCGCCCAGGCCCCCGCGGGACAGTGGCAGCTCCTCAGGCACCAGCCCGGCCCCCAGTGCTAAGGGTGCAGCCTCGTTGAGCAGTGGGTAGAGGGTGAAGGCCCCGGCCGCGCCCACGCACAGCCGGTCGCCCAGCAGCCCCAGGCTCTGCACAGGTGCAGGCGCCTGCAGCTCCCGGATTCGGTGCTGCCAGGGCCCTGGGCCGGGCCCCAGCTGATAGCAGAGCACCTGGCGCTTGACAGCTATGCAGAGCACAGGGGTGCGGGCCTGCAGGATGCGCCCAGCTGCCAGCACCTGGCAGCCTCGCGACTCAGAGATCTTGGCACCCGTGGCTTCTGCATTCTCCAGCTCGGCCAGGGCAAAGAGGCGTACGTTGGGGCCGCGGCCACACAGTACTGCCAGCAGGCCCACAGTGGGGCTCACGGCTAGCCGCTGCACCCGCCGGCACTCACCCACCTGGAAGATGTCTGCAGGGTTGGCAAGGGGAGGGCGTCACCAGCTAGTGGATAAGGAGTGCCCAGTCCTCTGGGGCCAACCCACACCCACACCCACCCTGGCCCAGGGGGGCAGGTACCGTTGCTGTGTAGGTGGATCACAAACAGCCCCTCCTCAGTGCCCAGAGCAAGCCGTTCCTGGTCTGGGAGAGGGTCAGAGGTCAGAGGGCGTGTCCACCAGTGGGGAGACTGGGCAGACCTTGTACCCTTGCTAGGCCATAGTTTCTCTTGAGGAAATGCAGACGGTGATCCCACTGTCCCTGCCTCGCTGGACCCTTCTCTCCCAGAGTCTGGACCGGTTGTAAGGGGGATAGGGCCACAGGGACAGGGGCTGGGGTCAGAGGCCTACCACCTTGAGCTGTGGGATTTGGAGTAAGTCACTCCCCTTCTCTGAGCCTGTTTCCCCTTGTGTAATGGGGACAATGTACCTTTGTCACAGAGCTGCTGTGAGGAACAGATGAGGCAATGCAGGTTATATTAAACAGCATCCACAGTTGTCCCTCCTCAGCAAGTGCCCTCATGCCCTCTGGCTCTGACTGACCCCGAGGGCCCGCACAGTCTCTCCTGTGGCCCTACCCTGAGTGACTACAGGGAGAGATCCCAGCTCCCTGAGGACAGGGTCTGGCTCAGGGCCTCAGCTGGTGGGAGAAGTCAAGGAACAGAGCTTCCACTCCTTTCTTTCCCAGCTGTCAATTACAGACGACCCACTGAGTGCAGTGAACCTTGTGGCAGCCCCACTGTACCGGGCTCAATAAACCAAACCCACTGCTGTGGAGTCAATTCTGACTCACGAAGACGCTGCATGTTACACAGTAGAACTGCCCTATAGGGTTTTCTTGACTGTAATCTTTACAGTAGCAGGCCTTTCTTCCATGGTGCCACTGGGTGGGTTCAAACCATCAACCTTTAGATTAGTAGTCGAGTGTAAACTGCACCACCCAGGGAACCACTGGGTTGAATAGTCCCCCCAAAACTCATGTCCTTCCTGGGATCTCAGAATGTGAACTTATTTGGAAATAGGGTCATGGCAGATATAATTAGAAGAAGCCCTGGTGGTACAGTGGTCAAAACACTCAGCTGCTAAGCAAAAGGTCAGTGGTTTGACCTCACCAGCTGCTCCATGGGAGAAAGATGTGGCAGTCTGCTTCCATAAAGATTATGGCCTTGGAAACCTATAGGGCAGTTCTACTCTGTCCTGTAGGGTTGCTATGAATCCGACTGACTCGATGGCAGTGGGTTAGATATAATGAGTCAAGATGAGGTCATACTGGAGCCCTAGTGGTACAGTGGTTAAGAGCTTGGCTGCTAACCAAAAGGTCAGCAGTTTGAATCCACCAGCCGCTCCTGGGAAACCCTATGGGGCAGTTCCACTCTGTCTTATAGGATCGCTATGAGTCAGAATCAACAGCAATGGGTTTGGTTTTTTTTTGGTTTTGAGGTCATACTGGAGCAGGGTGGGCCCTTAATCCAATGACTGGTGTCCTCATCAGAAGAAGAAAAAAGACACAGAGACATGGAGAGAACACGACATGACGACAGAGGCAGAGGCTGGAGTGATGCGTGTACAAGCTAAAGGGCACCAACCATTGCCAGCACCACCCGAAACTAAAAGAAAAGCCGAGAACGGATTCTCTCCCCTAAGGCCTTCCCCTGCGACACCTTGATCTCAGATGTCTAGCCCCCAGAACTGGGAAGGCAGGAATTTCTGGTGTTTAAGCCACCCAGTTTGTGGGAGCTTGTTCTGGCAGCTGCAGAACTAATACGTCCCCCAGGAGATGGCTGGGGGCCTGGAGCGGTCACACGGCTGCCTGCGGCCACCCAGCTGGCAGTAGGAGTGCCAGGATCAGAACCCTCGTTTATCTGTTTCTAAAGCCTTTGCTCCTTCCACTGGCGTGAGGATACGTTTTAGAAAAAGGAGAAACTGAGGCACGGAGAAATGGAGTGACAAAAAGTCAGGCCCCTGCCCCCCAGGGCTCCTCACATGGCCATGCCTGGAGGAGGCTTGTGGAGGACACATGTGTGGGCAGAGAGGCCACAGGCTCCTGCTTATGGCTGCAGGGACTAGGCAGCGATGGTGGCCCTCGTGACCATGCCTGGGCCTGCGCTGTCCCCACAGTCCCTATGGGCTCACCGATGATGGCAGCGCAGAGTGCGTGGGGCAGCAGTGGCAGCCCGTTGTCGTAGGCCTCCTTGAGGGTGTACACGGGCCAGGGCCGCAGCCGCATGTCCTGTAGCAGCCGCTGTAGCTCACCCAGCACCTGCAGCCAGCGCTCCCGCTCACCCTCGCTCTCCGCCAGCAGCAGCACATTGCATGTGGTGGGTGGCACCGCCAGCTGGGAGGCTGTCACCTATAGGCAGGGACCCGGGCTGGAGGCGCTAGAGGCGAGGGACCAGGCCCAGGACTGGCCATCCTCTCCACGTCCCTCCTCCCCCCAGGTGCAGAGCTAGACACAGTTGTACTGCAGGTCATAAGCCAGACGGGAGTCCGACAAGCGCACGGAACCCATGGTCGGTGCCGTGATAGGGAAGGATGAGGCATTGTGGGGACACAGGGGAGAGGCCCCTAACCCAGACCAAGAGGTGCAGGAAGACTTCCTGGGGAAGGGACCTCTCAGCTGGAGCCTGAGGGACAAGTGCTGTGACCAGGAGTGAGCCGATGGGGGGTAAGGGGCTGGGGGGATGGGACAAAACCAAAAACCAAACCCGTTGCCGTTGAGTCGATTCTGACTCATAGCAATCCTATAGGACAGAGTAGAACTGCCCCATGGAGTTTCCAAGGTGCGCCTGGTGGATTCGAACTGCTGACCTTTTGGTTAGCAGTCATAGCACTTAACCACTACGCCACCAGAGTTTTTGGGGGCCTGGGAGGGGGATGGCAATTCCCGACAGAGGGAACAGAATGTGCAAGGGCCAAGAGGTGAGGCCCATACAGGCACTCTTGGAACCCCAGGAAGCACAGCATGGCCAGAGCAGAGGTGCTGGGGGGGAGGCTGGGGAGGTCAGGGGGGGCAGATCCATGGGGTTCGAGGGCAGTGGGGAGCCACAGAGGGTCCCAACAAGGCAGGCCATGGCCAGAATCACATATGGAAAGCTCACTGGGGCTGCAGGGTGGGCAGGAGATGCAAGAGCAAGAACAGAGGCTACTGTCACTGTCCCCACAGGAGGTGAGCAGGCAGCCAGGGGCTGGAGGAAAGTGGCCGGCGTGGGGATGGCATTGCCGGGGGGGATGGAAGTCAGCCAGCTCACCCAGGCACTCACCCTAAAGATGCGTGGCAGGTCCCTAGACTGGGCGTGGATAACATCAGAGGCCAGGACCGGGGCGGCCGAGAACTGGGGGTCCCTGGGATGTCCATGGAGCAGGTCAGAAGTCGCACTGCCCTGGCCGCCCCCCTCACCCACTAGTCTCTTGCCCCACGCCACTGCCTGGCACCCACCTCAGATCCAGTGCCTGCAGGAAGGCCCCGCTGGCCGGGCTTAGCCGTGGGTCAGGGGCGTCGAACAGCAGCAGGCGCAAGTCACTAAGAGCAGCAAAGACCCGCTGCCAGCCGCGTCGGACGCCCGAGGGCCGGGGCACCTGGGGGAGAGGCAGGCGTGGTGGGGCCCACGCAGGCCCTCAGCCCCCTCCCCATCTCCCTGTCTCCCTGCCCCAGCTCACCGACAGGAAGCCTTCATAGGCGGTGCCCATGCCTGTCTCAGGGTGCACTCCCAGGGCTGTGCGGAGGAGGTCAGGGGGCATGGGGCAGAGGGGGGCCTGCGGGGCACACGTCGAGTGGCAGAAGTAGCCGCAGACTGTGAGGAAAACAGGAGGACAGATGGTGAGCACAGGAAGGAAGGCTCGGCCTCTGGTCGCTCCCACCCACGGCTTCCCTCAGGTCTCAGTGAACCAGAACCAATTCCCATCAAGTGAGAAGAAAAAACCTAAGAAGTGGGAGAGGTGGCTCAGGAGGCACCAGTGACCGTGGGGTGAGAGAAGCTGCCTGCCTGTCAGGCCCAGGGAGCCCCCCGCCCCCAACACGTGTTTCCCTCCACCAAGGGGTGCGGGGGTGTGGATGCATGGAGTTCTCACCGTCGCAGCTAAGGCCCTGGCGTCCCAGGCCTAGCATCAGCGAGGTGCAGCGGAGACACTTGGTGGGGGAGGGGAAGGTCCGGGGACGCAGCATGTGTGAGCTGGGCTGGGGAGGATGGGACATGCCGTCACCCCAAGACTGACCGTAGCTTCCCCAGGCCCCACACCTATCCCTGAGGAGGCCCAGGTGTCGGGAGAGCTGGGCTAGGGTGGCTGAGGACCCAGTAAATCTATGGCAGTACTCAAACTCGTGGCCACTATGGCCACCCTCTGCTCTGGCCATGATGGAGAAAGGGCCCCTGGAGGGCAGACGCAGCCGCCCGACCAAGACCAGGCTGTGGAGGAACCCGAGCAGGTCCTTGGAGGCCTGGCAGAACAATCCAGCCCGTCCACCTACCCGGCCCCTTGGGGCGCTGACCTTAGCAGGACTGTCTGCAGGGGCTGTGGTGGCAGCAGGTGTCCTGGAGAACACAGCCTGCGGGTGGGGGGAGCAGACAGGTGAGGGGTGTGGGGCAGGGGGTGGTGGGGCCTGGCCCCCCAGCTCCGGGACTCCACCTGTCTCACCCCCATGCGCAGGCTGCGGCGGCCCTCTGGCCTCAGCTCTGGCTCTGGCCCTGACTTTGGAGCCTCTCCCAAGACACCAGAGTCCTTGGTGGAGTCCTTCTGGGGATGGAGAGCATGGTGGGTGCAGCATCAAGGCCCCGTGCTGCCTTCCCCGACTCCCCGCCACAGCCCTTCCTGGTCCTTACCTCTGAGCTCCAGAACAGGAAGGGAAACAGGGAGTTCTGTGACTTGGTGTCTGAAAACAGAGGGCAGGGTCACTGGGGGTGGGTCCCTGGCCCAGCCCTAACACTTGTTCCTCAGGAACCAGGGGCCAGCTGGGGCCTCGGTTTCCACCTTGTTCAAACGGGGGAGCAGCCACAGGCTGGGATAGGGGTTGTACACAGCAGGTGCTCTGTCAGTGCTGGGAACAGATGGTGGGGGGAGCGGCAGGATCCAGGACAAACTCCTGTCTCTCAGCCTCACAAGGCTGCTGAGGGACCCCCTTGGTGACTGTGAGGCTAGTGGGGAGGGCTCGCCCTAGGAAGGCATGTAGACAGCCACTCACCCCCTGGCCCGCGGGCCTGCAGCTCCTTGCGCAGCACAGCCAGCTCCTGCTGCAGGCTCTGGTTCTGCTTCTCAGCCTCCTGCAGACGGCTGGGGAAGGACAGCGCAGGCTCACCATCGGCCTCTCCCTGGCACCCACCCTGTGCCATGCCTACCCCGGCCTCACCTCTTGGCCTGCAGCTGGGCTTCCTGCACCTGCGTCAGCCGCTCCTGCAGGCCCTGCTTGGCGCGGATCTCGGCCTCCAGTGCTGACTGCAGCTCCAGCCGGGCCGAGGCCTCCATCTTCTGCAGCCGCCGCGCCTTCCACTGGTGGTCCTGGTGGCCACGGGGCACCCATGTAAGATGCCCTCTGGGCCTGGCTGCCTCAGAGGTACCCTCCCGCCATGGCACACTGCTGTCCACGCTGCCTGGCCAGGCTTAAGGCCGCAGCTCGGCCGCTGACCTGCCATGAGCTCGTGAGCTCAGTGTCCCCCCCACCTGCCTGACGAGGCTCCTGCACCCCCAGGGTGTTTCTGGGCTCACCAGCGGCCGGGCAGGGAGCGTCTGGGTGCCCACATTCCGCAAGGACTCCAGCTCCTCGGCCATCTTGGTGGCCAGGGTTTGCAGGTAGCCTCTCGAGACCTTCTCATCGTTCACCCTGGTTGGGAAAGGGCTCAGGGTCACAGGCTAGACCCTCAGCCCCGCCCAGGCCCAGGCCCAGCCCATTTGGTGCCCACCAGCTGAGGATGTCGGCGATCTGGGCCTCCCAGTTGCTCTCCGTCTCCCGCCGCTCCTCCTCCAGCCGCTGCTTACTCTGCTGCTCCCGCTCCAGCTCTTTTGCCAGCTGTGGGTGGGGCCGGAAGGTGGGGGGTCAGCCCCCAGGGGCCCACAGCCCTGTCTCCCTTCTGTCCACCCAACACCCCTGGGCCCTGTCCCTGGGCACCCTGGCTCACTCACTACAGCTTGCCCACCAGCTGTGAGCCACGGCAGGGTGCCAGCCTGCCCCAGGACCCTGACAGCTCTGACCACCCACCCAGCTGGCTCCCCACCTCCGTGCCATTGTCTGTCTGTCCATGCTGCCCTGTGTCTGGCCCGGCTCACCCGCTCCTGCTCCCGGCTCAGCCGCTGGTTCTCCTCCTGCAGCCGGCACAGGGTCTCCTCCTTCCCACTCGGCCTGGGGAGGGGAGGGCTGAGGGGGTGAGCCAGCTCTGGGCCCCAGCCCTGCCTGTTCTCCCTGGACACCTGGCTCACCTGAGACTGCGGGCCTGGTCCAGCTGCACCCGCAGGGCAGCCATCTCCTTTTGCATCTGGGCCTCCTGCAGCCCGGCCCCAGGTGGTCCCGTGCCGTTGGTCTCAGAGGCTGTGTGGATGGTCTTGAGGACAGGGAGAGGGGTCAGGGCCTGCAGACCCTAAGTGGGCTTGGCCTGAGGGTCGCACCTCTTGGCGAGGGGGCTGGGCCTCACTACCTTGACTGGGGTCGACTCCTCAAGGCTCTGCTCCCGCTGTCTCTGCAGCCGAGTCACCTCCCGGCTCAGGGTGGCCACCTGGGCCTCCAGCTGTGATGGGGTACAGAGGCAGGCGATGCTGACCGTGCCCACCCTGGCCCCTCTCCCCCACTTGCAACAGGCTCTCAGGCTCTGCCAGGCAGGGCACGAGTGAGGAGGCAGCTGACCAGTCCTTCCCCTCCCTCAGGCCTCGGCCAGCCACAACGGGGGTGCAAAGGCACATGGTGTTCCTGACACCTCCCACCAAGCCCCCCAGCTTCATTCAAATGCAATGGAGGCCAAGAGACAGGGTCCTCCTACTCCCCCTGCCCAGCTCACCCAGCACCCACCTCACTCCGGACATCCCGGGCTTCCTCCAGCTGGGAGCTCAGGGCCTGGGTCTGGCTGGCCATGGCCACCACTCTCTCCTGGGCTTCCTGTAGCCTCCGGAGTAGCTCCTCCTGCTGCCCCTGGGCTCGGCACAGCTCCTGCTCCAGCGCCCGAAGCCCTGTCTTAGCCTCAGCCAGCTCCTGGGAGTCGGGTGGGGACGACGAGGGCTGGGTCAGCGCACAGACCTCTTCAGCATGGAGCCTGGTCACTCACCCACCGGCTCTCACCTGGCGGAGCTGGTCTCTCTCGCATCGTAGATCACTGACCTGGCCTAGGTTGCTAGCAGGGGGCCCATCCTTCAGGGACGACGGGGCCTTGCTGTCCCTTGGTGTCTCTGCCAGGAACAGTCACTGAGACTGCGTGTATGGACTGCCCAGCCTCAGCTGGCACTCCACCCACAGCATTTCATGGAACCATCATCCCAGCCCGGGAGGCAAGTCTCCTGCCTGCCTTTCCCATGCAGGCTCAGAGAGCTTCAGATACTTATCCCTGAGACCACACAGCATGCACAGAGCAGGGGCCGGACTAGAACCCAGGTCTGACTCAGCGTGTGCTAGAGGAGGACCAAGGCAGGTGGTAGGGGGTACCTGACAGCCTCTCTTGTAGGGTCTGCACTTCCTTCCGTAGCTGCTCCAGCTCCTGATGATCTGAGGGGCTCAGCCGGACCTCTGGCCGGGGAGAGGGCACCACAGGTGAGCAGCTAGCCCTGTAGCAGTGGCCCCCTGGTCAGACCCACTTGGCCCTGGCCGACCCAGCCTAGCTGGCTCCCCACTATACCATAGAGCTTCTGGCTGAGCTCTGCCTTCTCTTCCTCCAGACATGTGAGCTTCCACTCCAGGGCAGCCAGCCGCTCGGAGCCACCCTCAGGACCAGGACTAGGGCTGGGGGAGAGCAGGGGCGATGCAAGTTAGCAAAAACCCACTCCCTAAAGCTTCCTCCTACGTCCATTCATTCATTCCACCAAGAAACACCCGCTGCACACCAGTTCCACACCCAGCCCAGCTCTGTGCCGGGACAAGAGACGTATCAGTCCAGGGCCCACAGGGAGGGCAAGGGAGCCGGGGAGGCCCCTAAGGAGATGCCCAGGCTGGTGCACGTGGCAGCCCAGGGTAGCGGCTCCAGGGTCCCCCAGGCCTAGGTTCAAGTCCCAGCCCCGGCCCTGTGTGACCACCTAATGTATCTGAGTCTCAGTTTCCTCAGAGGACGACAGAGCAGTGACACCAGGGCCTCTTCCAAAGATGTCGAGAAGACTTACCGTAGATCACCCTGGGAGCACCCCCTCACCCAGGACCTCGCTGTGGTCCTCACCCAGAACCTCGATGAGACAGGTCACCTGCGAGCACCCCCTCACCCAGGACCTCAGGCCAGTCCCACGGATGAGATTGGGCAGGGAGAATCCCGCTCATTTCACAGAGGCACAAAATGAGGCACGGGGAGTGGTAGGGGCCTTTCAAATTCTAGGCTTCTGGCTCTGAAACCAGGACATACTCGGCCTGCTGTGAAGACACAGTGAGGGCCAAATGCTGGGACAGGGCCTAGAGGGCCCTGAGGACATGGGGGTTGTCCTCCTGAAGGTTCACTTCCTGAGTTCCTGGCCCCTGCAGGCACAGGTGGGCCACTCAGCCGCCTTTCCCAGGGCCCAGACGGGCTTCGCTCCCAGTGTCCTCCAGGCCAGGCAGCTCCAGCTTCCCACCAGGTGGGACTCAAGACCCCAGAGGGTGAGGGCTAGACTCACCTGGTCAAGGTATAGGTGAAGCCCACAAATGGCAGGTGGTGACCTGAGAAGGCCCCGTGGGAGGGTGGCGGCAGGGTGTCCTGCAGGAGGGGAAGGAGAGTCAGAGTCAGCACGCACAATTCCAGGCTGAGGCTCGAGCACTGGGAGGCCCCCTGGGACTTGGCAAGGCCACCTCACCCTGCTCAGGTACACAGCTGCAGGGATACTAACACAGGGCAGGCAGGAAATACAACAGATCACAGCTCCCTCGAGTCCTTGAAGTTGTCGCCTCCCAGGGGCTACCGGGAGTTTTCTCCCCTACATGAATTCTGGCTGATAGTACGACATTTGGGGTGAGATGACCTTCGCTTGGCACAGTGCACCTCAGCAATCCAGCCTCAAGGAAGCCATGACTCCCCCGAGCCCCTGGGGTCCAGAGGCCTCCTTCCCAGCCTGGTGACTACTCTGGGGAACTTCTTGGGGGTTCCCTGGGCCGGCAAGGGTCAAAGCAGCTCTCCTCAGTGGGACTGGCCACTCACTGGGTGGTTGAGGGTGTCGTCATCCACGTCGAAGTTGGAGGTGTCCACAGGCCCGCGGAGCTCAGGGATGTAGGGGGCAGTGCTGGTCGCCAGCCGCTCCCAGTCCACACCTTCGAAGAAGGGGTGGTTCCGGAAGTCGTCCAGCCCGCCGCATCCCAGACGTTCCTCCTGGCGGCACAGCAGCTGGCGGATCAGGTCTCGGGCGCTGGCTGGTACGTCAGGCACATCCGGGGGGAACTGCAGGTGGTCCTGTGGGCCGAGCCGGGGAGGGGCGCATGGGTCCGGGACCCCACCTTCCCCGGCAGGGGTCTCCGACCACATGGAGTTGGGAAGCCCATCCTGCCGCCCTCCCTAGAACCCCAGATCCTGTCGGCCAGACCTCGTGGTTCATGATCTTGCCGTAAGTTTCCACCAGGGACTCAGCGTAGAAGGGCGTCTCCCCAAAGAGTAGCTCATAGGCACAGACTCCCAGCGACCACCAGTCGCACTGCGGGCCATAGTGGCCCTTGCCCTCCTCCATGGCCTGCAGGATCTCAGGGGAGATGTAGTCCGGCGTCCCTACAGCCACTGAGGAGTCCACCTGTGGGTGGTGGTGTTGACGACGCCATGAAGACAGCCTCAGGCTGGGCCCCCACCATGACCCTGGGCCTGGCACCCCACTCCCTTAGGGCCTGAGCCTAGCCCTTTGTTCCCCTGGGAGCCTGAGGCCCCTCACTGGGCCTGGTGCCTCCCTTCCCCAGGGAGCTCCCACTCGGGGGCAGGGTCCTCACCATGCCGCTGTTGTTGAGACGCAGGCAGGAACCAAAGTCAGCCAGGCGGATGTGCCCGTTCATGTCCAGGAGGACATTGTCTGGCTTGACATCCCTGGGGAGGGTAGGGACAGTGAGGGGCTTGACCAGTGTACATGGATGTGCACACGTGAGCAAGGTACATGCATGCAGAAGGGAGAGAAGGCTGGTGGCCAGGCCTCCTGGCTCCCAAGGAGGAAGAAGGTGGCCAGATTGGGGGAAAGGACCCATAAGGTGGACCCTTGGAGGCAGCAGAGTGATGTGAGGGATGCAGGGGTCAAATGTCCCCAGTGCAAACCACAGCGTGGCCACCCACCACCTGAGCGACTCAAGCAAGGTGCTGACCCCTCATTTTCTCACCTGTAAAATGGGGACAATAGCAGCCCCCATCGCATACATTTTTAGAATGAGAACTAAAAGGAACAAGTGAGGGGTGCTGGGCGCATGCTCAGCAAATGTCAGCCCCCGCAGAGCTATCAGAGGGGGCTGGCAGGGCAGCGGGGGCTTTGAGGCCTACCTGTGGACATAGCCCAGCTGGTGCAGTGAGTGGATGGCCAGCACCATCTCGGCCAGGTAGAACTGGGCCAGCTCGGGCGGGAGGCGGTCTTCGAAGCGGCTCAGCAGCGTGAGGAGGTCCCCCCCAGCATAGTAGTCCATCACTAGGTACTGAGCGGCAGTGCGGCGTGTGGGGAAGGGGGAAGGTGTGAGAATCAGTATGGGGGAGGGGCACCTCCCCTGGGCCCCAGACCCCTGCCCCTGCCCACCCCACAGCAGTCTCTGAGAAGGCTGGAGTCTCAGGCCCAGGGGCTGGCAGGAAGTGGAAATGGCCCCAGTAGGAGGGTCTCTCTCTGCTTGGACCCAGTGCCCCTGGCCCCCCAGGGCCTTCTGTGTCTCCTCTGCTCCCAGTGACCCCCTCCCGACCCTGCCAAGTATCCTCACCAGGTACTCCTCGTCCTGGAAGGCGTAGTGCAGAGTGGTCACCCAGCGGCTGTCCCCCTTCACCAGGACATCTCGCTCCTCCCGGAAACAGGCCGTCTGCAGCAGGTTTTGGGAAGGGGTAGGTGGAGTCAGAGCCCGGAAACCCCTCCAGTTAGCTCAGGGATGGAGGAAGATTCCGTAAGTCTAGGAGGCTGGAGGAAAGTCGCAGCTCTGCTCTGCCCCAGGCTGGCCTCCTGTGAGCCTCAGCCCTGTTCTATAGCTTTGGGCCTCAGTTTTAACATATGGGAAATAGGAATACTCTGCTTGCTTTTAAGAAAGGCTTGTTGGGAGGAATAGCTAGGAAGAGGTCAGGGATGGCATCCTCTGCCCGTTCAGTAGTGATGCCCGGTCCCTCCCTGGATGCCACTCACTGGCAGGGTGCCAAAGTCAAGGTAGAGGTACCGGCTCTGCCCACTGCCTGGCTCCCTGAGCCCATCCCCAGACTCCAGGTAGCACCACCCCAGGGGCTGATGGGACCTGTAGTCTTCTCCAGCCTGAGGGCCTGAAACTGGCCAGCCAGGTCACTCTGAAAGTACCCCCCACCCATTTGCAGGGTATCAAAGTCCCACCAAGCCCCAAACTGACCTCGGCCCTCTTCAGCATCTCCCACTTGTGCAGCATTTTCATGGCAAAAATCTGCCCAGTGTCCCTCTGCCTCACCACGGCGACCTGTGGCCACAGGGAGGATGGGTCAGCCTACCTGGGTACAAACAGCCTCCTCCCACCCCCCACCCCTAGGTGCTCTGCTTACCTCCCCGAAGGCCCCTCGGCCGATCACCTTCAAGATCTCAAAGTCATCTCTCTGCAGCCGCAGCTCTTTTACCTTTGTTACGAAGGGACTGGCTAAGGAGGACACAGAGCGGGGCTCAGGGGGGAAAGCCAGGTACTGCCACTGCCGTGCAGCTGGGACAGGGATGTCCTTCCCAGAGGACTGGTAGGAGGTGGAGCAGGGGCGTGGAAGGTGCAGGTGCTGGCTCTGACCACTGTCTGGCTCCCTGGACCCGTACCCAGACTCCAGGTAGCTCCATCCCAGGGGCTGATGGGACTTGTAGTCCTCTCCAGCCTGGGGGCCTGACGCTGGCCAGCCAGGTCACTCTGAGGGTGATGGGGCCACCACCCCAGCTCACAGTGCTTGGCCCCCTACCAGTGCCAGGCCAGGCCTGTCTGGGGGAACCGGATGGGTAACATTTCTTGTCCCCAGAGAGGCTTCTCTGCTGGTCAGGAGCTATGGGCCTGGGTCCGGGGACCCTGCAGGCACAGAGGTACCGGGCAGCCCCAGAGGGCAGGTAGGACAATGGTCCCACAGGGCCCCGCAAGGACAGTCCCTGGGCTCCCCATGTGAGGCCTCCTCAGCTGTAGGCCTTGATACCAGTCTGCCCAGGTTCTCACAAGACTCAAAAACAGGGCCAAAAAAACTACCTGGCATGGCCGCTGGCCCTGCCAAGCCTGACCAGCCCTACAATGCCGGGCCCTGCCCCCTCCCTGGACTCAGCCTGTGCCTGGCCAAGAACCTCCTCCTTCCTCACACCCCTGACACCCCGGTGAGGACCATCTCCAGCCCCTCCCACGCCTCCCAAGGCCAGGAGTCACCCCAGGGCTGGTGGAGGGAATCGGGTCTTAGAAACTCAGGGAGGCAGGAGTGACTAGTAGGGCTTGGGGGCAGCTGAGGTCTGGCTCCCTGCCTCAGTTTCCCCCTGCCAGGAGGTAAACTCCCCGCTAGCTGGACGGGTCTGTGGGTGGGGCAGAGAGCTGCCCTACAGGTTTATCAGGCAGAACTCCAGCAGCAGGGGTGGAGTGGAAGCCTCATTACAGAAATGAATTGTCTCTTTCCCAGGTCTCTGTGGGGAGCTGGGGAGGAGCAACCACAGGCCTCCAAGGGGGAACCGAGGCCCGGGCGGCTACCCACCAGCCAGCTAGGGACCAAGGCCTAGGACCCCTGTTAGTAGGTCTGACTCCCAGGCCAAGCTGCCCAGCCCCCTTGCCTTACCAGAGGAGGCGGGCTCTGGGCAGAAGCAGGGGCAAGTCGGGGCAGAGGAGTGAGTCACCACCCTGTGAGTTACCTCGGGAGATGTCAACAGACAGGCCCCCACGCTAGGATCCCAAGCAGAGGTGCCAGAGGCAGACAGGGAGGAGCACACACACGTGTGCAAACAGACACGCGTGTGCATCACAGGGGCTGGTGACAACACAGCAGACACGTGCACGTTCACGGGACTCCTGGGACACAGGCAGGCCAGAGGCCGAGGGCCTGACTGCTCTCATCCTGGAGGAATGGGCTGGCACGCCTGGGCAGCAGGCCCCCAACTGTGCCAAGCCAGGCCCTGTGCCTGCCCAGAGCTCAGGAGCGCCAGGAATGCCAGTCGCCCACTGGGCAAACACCAGCCTCACCCGCATCCCCCCCCCCAACCCCCGCCAGGCTCCTGGCGCCCTCCCCATAGCCCGGTCGGGCGTGACCAGGGAGCCCTCGGGCTGGCGCCAGTGCCCACACTGGCCTCAGGGTCACCCCAAGCCAGCCACTCCCGGTGATCAGATGAGTCACCAGAAAGGGGTGCAGACCCACCTCCAGTCAGGCCCCTGGCCTGACTCTCCTGGCAGCTCTGGGAGCCTGGCCAGCAGCTTGCACAGACAAAAGGGCCGAGGTGGGTTCCTGTGCCCAGCCTGGGGTGCTCTTGTACGCAGGGAGATGGAAATGTGTGTGTGTACGGGGGGTGTCCACAAGTGTGAGATCCCTCTGATCTGTGAGCGGAAGTAGGTGGGCATGTGTCAGAGCCAGTGTGGTTGGGGTGGTCTGCAGGGCGCAGTGCGGGCTCCCTGTGTCTCCCCATGATCTACGAGTGTCCCAGTGAGTGTGTGGGAGACAGAGCATGTGTGTGTCGGTGTGTGATATGCATGGGGGTCTGCGTGTGAGCGTGTGTGTTCCCGTGGGTCTGTGAGTTGTGAGGTGTGAGCAGGGAATCCCGGCCGTGGCTGTACGTGTTGTGTACATGCATCGGGGCTTGCACGTGGGAGCAGGTTTGCATGTGTCCCTGTATTGTTCTCTGAGAGTGTCTGAGATGTGTGTGCGGGTGTCGTGTACATGTGCAGGGGTCTGCAAGAATCTGAACGAGGGTCTCTAGAGTGCCCGAGTGTGTGAAGTGCGCAGGTGGGGGGGGATGGGCTGCGGGGCCTGGTGCAGGTGAGAGAGCCAGTGCGAGGAGCGCCTGTAGGGTGCGCGTCCCTGCTGGAGGCTCTGTGGACGTGGAGCGCGCGGTGGCCGGTGGTCCCGCCGCGTTGTCCCTCGGGCCGCCCTCCCGCCCCGCCCCTGCCACTCACCCCAGCTCAGGAACTGCGCGACGTGGCGCTCCCGCCGCAGGGGGGCGCTGCTGAGCTCGTGGTGCAGCCCCAGCAGCAGGTCCAGGAGGCCGTCGAGCCACGGGCCG